AGCTGTCGCCCTTGCTGTCCGCGTTCGCTGCGTTCGCGTTCGTTTGGCTCCGCTTCTCTTCTTCCTCCCTGCTGGCTCCTTCTAGTCGTCGGGCCCCTCCCCTCGGCTGGCCTCCTGCCGCTTTCTTTTCGGCTCGCGCTCTTCGGGAGCTGCGGTTCGCCCCCCCTCCCCTCCCGGCCCTGGCCGCCGCCGCCCTGGCCCTCGGCCCCCGACCGGCCAGTCGCTGCGCGGCGGCCCGCGTAGGCAAAAAAAACAGGAGGAGGTGGAGGAGGTGGAGGAGGAGGAGGAGGAGGAGGAGGAGGAGGAGAGGGACGACGACGACGACGACGACGACGACGACGACGACGACGACGACGACGACGCATCGCCGTCGTTGTGCCTCGCAGCCCTCCGAGCCGCTCCCCCGCGAGGACGCGACGGCCCTGGCTCCGTGTGCGAGGGGCTGGGCGCACCCTCCGCCCGACGGGGGCCACGGCCCCTGCTCTCGCCTTCCGTCCGCCTCCACCGTCCTCCTCCTCCTCCTCTTCCTCCTCCTCCTCCTCCTCATCCCTCCTCCCTCCTCCTCCTCCTTCCTCCTCCTCCTCTTCCTTCCTTCCTTCCTTCCTCATGATCCTCCTTCTCCTCCTCCTCCTTCCTCATCCTCCTCTTCCTTCCTTCCTTCCTCATTATCCTCCTCCTCCTCCTCCTCCTCCTCGTCCTCCTCACTTCCCGCGGCCGCCACCGCCCATCCTCATCAATCTTTCTCATTCGGGTGTTGCTGAAGGTACCCCTAGCCTAAGGTGTCCCAAGCTTTCCGTTCAATGTTGGAGCCCCTGGGGCCCTCTGGGACTCGTGAGGGGTGTTCTGGAGGCCGTGAGGGGCTCCTTGGAAATCCTGGGGGCACTTTGGGCCAGGGGCACTTCTAGCAACACCCGTCATCCCGAGGCATAAAGTCACAGCATAACAGAAGTTTTCGGAGCTCCTCTGGCGGCATCTCTGGCGCTGGACACCCCTGGCGGCACCTCTGGCGCCGCCCCTGGCGCGCTCCGCGCCAGGGAGGGTGGTCCAATTGCGGTCCAAGATGTCCGCGTGGACATCCGAAAGTTCATGTTATATTGCTGTCAATATTTAAATCAGGCATCCTTCTCCATCCCTCGTTCTTGTGAACAACCCACCCTCGGCGCATCACCAGACATATCGGTAGGACGGGCCAAATGTTTCGCCCTCGAAGTTGTTCGTGGCTCTCTTCTTGGTGCCGCGCGTATTCGTTCTCAAATTCTAGACGCTTCGCGTAACCCCTCCTGCCCATCCAGAAACGATGCCAAGAGGAGTTGTTTAATCAGGGGTGTGGAGGAGCATGCAGTGGAATAAAGGGCTGGGTAAGACGTTGTGCCCCAAGAGGGGGAGCATGAAGGAGGAACCAGAGGAGGGGGGAGAGGATGGGTGGATGAGGAAGAGGAAGAGGAGGAAGAGGGCGAGCAGAAAGGTCAGAGGCCTCTTGGATGTTTCTCGGAGTCTCTTCAAATGTCTCTTGACAGCTCCTGGTGGGCCTCTTGGGGCGTCTTGAGAGCCTCTTGGCGATCCCGGGGCCTCTTGAAGCGTCTTGGGTGTTTTGGGGGGGGAATATTGGGGCCTCTCGGCGGTCTCTTGGGAGCCTCGGGGCCTCTTGAAGCCTCCTCGGCGCCTCTTGGGGCACTCTCTGGAGCCTCGGGGGCCATCTTGGAGGAGATTGGTCAAAGAAGGGGGAGGCTCAACCAGGGCCCCCCTCCAGGAGGCCAAAATGGGTCCAACACCTAAGTCGAACCAATTAACAGTGCCATCTCGCCGAAGCCATCTTGGGTGCTCAAACGAACCGCACAACCGTCCTCCAGACCAAGGGGGAGGGGGGAGAGAGAGAGAGAGGACCCCCCTGCGAAGGGCAAGAAGGGGGCTGGAAGAGGAAATGCTCTGAACCACTCACGCCCTGGCTGGAAGGATTTCCCAGACTCCGCGTCCTCCTCCTTTTACCCATCCTTGTACCTATACGACCACCCTTCGGGTGAGAAGGAGGTTCGGGGGGGGAGGAACCAACGTCTCACTCGATCGGTCTCACTATCGATCTCACTATCGATCTCGCTCGATCGATCTCCCTCGATCGATCTCACAATCGATCTCACTCGATCTATCTCACAATTGATTTGACTATCGATCTCACAATCGATCTCACAATCGATATCACATTCGGTCTCACTATCGATTTCACTATCGATATCACAACCGCTCTCACAATCAACGTCATCATCATCAACAACATCAACATCAACATCATCATCACCAACATCATCATAATCGGGACACCGTCCTCATCATCAACACCAACATCATCATCATCATCATCATCATCATCATCATCATCATCATTTTCATCATCATCATCATCATCATCATCATCATCATCATCACGGTCATCAACATCATCGGGACACCACTATCATCATCATCATCACCATCATCACAATCAGCATCATCAACATCATCATCATCATCAGCAGCATCGGGACACAGTCATCGTCATCATCATCATCATCATCAGCAGCAGCATCATCATCGGGACACGATCATGATCACCATCGTTAGCATCATCATCATCATCATCGTCATCATCATCATCATCATCATCGGATTACCATCATCATCATCATCATCATCTCATCCTCATCATCGACATCATCATCATCATCAGCATCATCAACATCATCATCAGCATTATCATCATCGTCGTCATCATCGGGGCACCATCATCATCATTAACAACATCAGCATCAACATCATCATCATCATCATCACCATCGGGACGCCATCATCATCAACATCATCACAATCACCATCATAATAATCATCATCATCGGGACGCCATAATCATCATCAACCTCATCATCATCAACATCATCATCATCATCGGGACGCAATCATAATCATCATCATCAACATCAACATCATCATACTCATCACCATCGGGACACCATCATCGTCATCATCATGTCCATCAACATAATCATCATGATCATCATCATCATCGGGACACCATCAGCATCATCATCATCATCGTCATCATCATCATCATCGACATCATCATCATCATCATCATCGGGACACCATCATCATCATATCATCATCATCATCGTCCTCATCATCATCATCAGCAGCATCACCATCATCATCATCGACGTCATCAGCATCATCATCAGCAGCATCATCGTCAGCATCACCATCATCATCATCATTATCATCATCATCATCATCATCATCATCATCATCATCATCATCATCATTATCATCATCATCATCATCATCATCATCATCATCATCATTATCATCATCATCATCATCATCATCATCATCATCATCGCGGGACACCGCGGGACACCGGCGGGACACCGCGGGGCACCGCGGGACACCGCGGGACACCGCGGGACACCGGCGGGACACCGCGGGCCACCGGCCGCCCGGAAGGGAGTCATTTGGTCCGGCCGCGCCTCAGCCACACGGGACTTTCGCGGGACACCGGCGGGACACCGCGGGCCACAGGCCGCCCGGAAGGGAGACATTTGGTCCGGCCACGCCTCAGCCACAGGAGACTTTTTCTCGCTTGCCCACGCAGCTTCGCCTCGCCCGCACTCACGGCACGCACGAACACGAAACCGAAATCGATTTCCCGGTAGGGGGGCTCTTCGTTCCACTTCGATCTCACCCCCTCACCTCCGATTCATCATACTCCTCATCCTCTTCATCCTCCCTCTGTTGGTCCGACTGCTCGGATTGTGTTCCTTATTTGCCCTCATCTTCCTCCTTTTCCCCATCCTCGTGTTCCTCATCGTCGTCCGCCTCATTATCCACCCTTTCCTCATATGGAAGACGAGCAGGTGTCAAATATTCAATGATCATGTTCGTCACAGAATGTGCGGGAGGGGGTCCGAATTATTCCTTCACGCTCTCATCATCATCGACACGTTCCGCGTGATCCGTCTCCTCGTCGTCGTTCCCATTGTGATACTATTCCTCCCCATCGTCACCATCATCGGCATCATCATCAGTTTCATCTTCATCATCACCATCATCATCGTCATAGTTCGGAGCGTGTGGGCCTGGGCTGCCTGTCAGTTTTCGGCAGCGCTCTGGACGAAGGGCGTTTGCAAGCGGGGATTTGAAGCACAGTCGCATCCTATGCCGCTGGTCCTCCTCATCCTCCTCAACCCCATTTCCTCATATACCCTCCCTGTCGCACCCCCAGACGTGTCGGTAGGGTGGGCCGGGCGTTTCGCCTGAGAACTCCCCACCATCTGCGATCCTGACGCTCGAAATTTGCAACAATTTCAAAGATGGAGGGCAGGTGGTTTTCAAATATATTTGTTCGGCTCAGTGCCGCGCACATTCGTCGTAAAAGCCTGCAGCAGCTTCAAGGATGGAGCACGGCTGCTTTTCACAGTGTGGCTCTCGCAATAGCGCCGGGCACAGTCGGTTTGAAAAATTGCACCAGTTTCCAGAGTGGAGGGCGGCTGCTTTTCAAAATGTGGTTCTCGGCTTTAGCGCCGTGCACATTCGTTTTCTTCAAAGTTTGCCACGGCGTCAAGGATGGAGGGCGGCTGCTGTTTGAAATGTGAATTTTGGCTTTCGCCTTAGCGCTACCCGAAGTCCTTTTAGAAATCCACAACAGCGTCAAGGGTTCTCACGGTCATTGATTCGCTGCGTTGAAGTCCCCGGAGCGATATTTTGGCACGGTTTAGGATTGTCAGGACGCAGCAATCACGTTGAACCGCGGCGTTGAATTCCCAGGACTAATGATTTGGCACGGTTGGGGATTCTCAGACGATGGCCCTCCAGTGGTGGACTTCCTGCAATGATGGTAAGAAAATGCGAGGACCGATGAAGAGGGAATTGGGATAGACGGTTAATTGCAACATCTATGACGCGTCTTTGGTTTACATTGTTTGTCCTCCTTCTCCGCCTCCCCTTCGCGGATCACGCCCCGCGCTCTTTCCGAGACGGAGCTTGCGGATTCGACCTCGCTGCCGCCCCCCAAGATGAGCATCCTGATCCTGCCGCGCGGCCGCGCAAATCCGCCGCCGCTTTTGCAGGGCGTTCCAGAGAGGGGCTCGCATTCGGCGCTCCAGAAAGGGACCCGCCTTCGGCGCCTCTCGCTTTCGGCGGGAGTGAAGCGGCGGTAGTTCCGCCAGCGTTCCCGTTGGAGGGCCGGGAGGGGGAGTTCGAGGTTCTAGCTTTTCGGGCGTGTCGTCGGTCCCCGGCCGCTCTCCATCGGCGGCGCGTAGCGGGGGGAAAGTGAGAGGGGGCAAGCGTTCTTAGAAGGCTTGTCGTTTCGGGGAGGGCTCGGGCGCGATCGCATGCGCGACCACCCCCCAAGTCGACACACCCCCCCCACATGTTTCGATCACCGTAGAGAGCTCCACCTCCAGCCTCCGTGGGCGCGTTCGCGCGCGCTACAACCCACCAGAGTCGCCACACACACACACCACACGCTTGTATTGCCCCATAGGTGTCTCCACCCGCGGTATCGGTGGGCGCGCTCGCTTACGCAACCACCCACTCACCTGGCACACACCTCACACACTCGTGCCACTTCCGGAGCTTCGCCTACGATCTCAGTTGGCGCGCTCGCGTGCGTCACCCACCCCCAGATTCGGCACACCCATTACACGCTCCGTCCCCTGGAGGGAGCCCAATCTACGGCCTCATTGGGCGCGCGCGCTCGTGCGCTACCACTCCCAAGGTTGCACGCCCTGCATGTTTCGTGTCTCACAGACAGCTCCACCTAAGCCCTCGGTGGGCGGGATCGCATACGTTACCAACCCCTCAGGTGGCACACCCCTCACACCTTGCGTGCCCCGTACGGATGCCCGCCGTCGGCCTTCTCGGGCGCGACTGCATGCGCTACCACCCACTTATGTCAGCACACCCCGGACACGTTTCGTGTCCATTGGGGAGTTCTTCCTAGGATGTCAGCGGGCGCGACCGCATGCGCTACCACACCCCAAGTCGGCACACCTCTCACACGTGTCATGCCCTCCCGACAGCTCCACCTACGGCCCCAGTAGGCCCGATCGCATGCGCCACCGACCCTTTGCGTCGGCACACCCTCATCACACCCCGTGCCCCTACAGGATGTCCACCTGGCGCCCCAGCGGGCGCGACCGCTTGCGCTACCACCCCTCAAGTCGGCACACCCTCATAGAGGGAGCTCAACCTCCAGCCTCCGTGGGCGCGTTCGCGCGCGCTACCACCCTCTCAAGCCTGCACACCCCTCACAGGTTTCGTGCCCCACAGACAGCTCCATCTACGGCAGCGGTGGGCGCGCTCGCGTGCGTTACCAATCCTTCTTTCGACACATCCCATCACGCATTTCGCGCCACTTATTAAGGAGCTCCACCTACGGCTTCAGCGGGCGCTCTCGCGGGCGACACCACCCCCTGGTTCGACACACCCTCACCACACGGCTCGTGCACTTCAGGAAGCGCCATCTATGGCTTCAGTGGGTGCGCTCACGTACGCTACCACTCTCTCCAAGCCGGCACACCCTTTACTCGTTTCGTGCCCCACATACAGTTCCACCCACGGCCCCAGTAGGCCCGATAGCATGCTTCACTACCCCCTGAGTCAGCACGCCCCTCACACACCCCGTGCTTCTTGAAGGAGCTTCACCCCAAGGCCTCAGCGGGCGCGATCTGCTGCGCTACCACCCCCCAAGTCTGCACACCACTCACACGTTTCGTGCCCCACGGGCAGCTCCACCTGAGGCCTCGGCGGGCGCGATCTCCCATGCGGTGCCCACCCCCTCATTCGGCACACCCCGGCCTCGGCGCGCAGTTTCTGAGAGGACCCCGCCCTGCGATGCGCGTAGGTGCATCGTGTTGGGGCCCTCCATCGACGGTTCTGCTGAATGGTGGAATGATTGTTTTTTATGGTGAAATAGAATTGTCGGAGGTGAAATAGATACTACGCAAATGCAGGATGTAAGATAATTCCGTTTGAAAAAATCACGGAGAGCTACAAAAAGCATTACGTAAAAACCAGACGTAGATTGCTCCAGTGTGGGTTTCGTCGCCGGGCGCTCCCGCGGCGCTCCCGGCGACGCTCCCCAGGGGCGCTCTTGCGGTTCTCCAGCGGCCCGCACCCTGCGGACTCGGGCGACGCTGACGAACGCGGGCGACCGTAGTGTGTGCGCAGTGCTCGTTTCCTCTGCGGGGTGTGCTTTGTACGTAGTGGTTTCGAGAAGCGTTCCGACGCAGGGCGCTCCAGCGGCCAGCTCCCTGCGGATTCGGGCGGCATTGGCGAG